AAGTTTGCATAGTTTCATTCTACCAGCAATGTATCTCATTTTTTTTCTCTCATCATTTTTCTTGTATTTTTTTTTCTCTTTTTTTTCTGTATTTTTTAAAAAACGCTTATGTCGCGTGTCGATGACTACTTCGCCATCCGGTATGTACAGGGGACGTTCGAGCATTCCATTAAAAGTAGCTCGTTTCAAATGTAACAAGTGACTTTTCAGCGAACACCATCCTATATATGTATGTATAAATATATATGTGTGTATATATATATATACACATATATATATATATATAGATACACATGCACGTTCTCATATAGGGCGCAGCAAACACACATGTACATATACAGACAGAAGGAGGAAGTCGACTGTACGTATTTTTTTTTTATTTTTCTTTTTTTTGTATTTTTTTTTCTTTCTTTTTTTTTCTTTGTTTGAGAGAAAGAGAGAGAGAGAGTGATGCATACAGCTGGTAAACAGGCAGTTATCCAAGAAGTGAGCAGGTTACACCTAGAAATATCTAGAAAGAGGCTAGAGAAGAGGGAGAGACAGATCAGGCAGGTAGAGACAATTGTCATGCTGTGTTTCGATGTGTTTTGACGCGCGCGATGCACGAACTTCGATCATTCGCAATCTGATTGTACTATCGTGTATAATAATTACTAATCAAAATTTGTTAAGCAGTTCTTTTTCCGTGTTCTCGTTCTCAATGGGTATTTCATTTCATTCGATAATAGAAATAAAAGTACTGAAACTGCAAATCGACAGAATGGTCGTTCGAACGAGTTTAACGCCGATTATCTGAGCGACTTAATTTCGATACGAGGTTAGAGAAACGAGTTTTAAAGAATTGCCGCGACAATTGATGCTTTCATCTGCAAATTAGAATAATTTTGATGATTTAACTTGTCCTTTGTCACGTACGAAAATATTGAAAGTATAACGAAATTTGGCTGTAACAGATAGAGTAATTTCTTCAACGTGTGTTTATTCTAAAGATCTAAAACTAATTTGATAAAATAATTTGATGAAATAATTTTCGTTGGTTCCAAATTTGTCGGTGGTAAATACGACAATCGCTAAACCTATTTAACCTAAATTTGTTATTAACATTCGTGCAATATAAATATGTGCAGATTGACAATTTCGAAGATACTATAGAATCGACTAACGAATCGATAAACATACTGTACTAACAGACATTGTTAACTCCTGTGCGCAAGATCTACACTACCTATTTGGTATAAAGCCAAAACTATATATATATATATAAACTATGAAAAAACGTAGTATGTAGATCTGTGATATGTTCTACGACGTTGAGGGGGTGAAATCGTTTTTGAAAGATTAAATTTAATTGTCAAATCGTATTTGAAAAGTATTGGAAAAATCAAGTTTATAATTCAAATCAATTTTTATTGAATAACTACTTTCCTTTTATAAATAACTATAGTTACACATTAAATATGCTAAAGGTCCTTATCTTTTTAATAGATGATTTATTCGCATTAGAAAAAAGAAAATAAAATTCCATTTCTATAAAAACTTAAATATTATGTTAACAGTGGAAAATGATTAGAAAAATATTATAAAAAATAATAATTAGGAAACATTAGCTGTAGAAATACAACGACGAATAAAATTAAAAAAATTTCATTAAAAGTTTAAGTAAACTTCGGTAATATTTTTAGGTGAACCGAAGGAAAAATTCAGTTCAAGTTGAAATTTTAATTAAACGAAATTTACGAATTACGGTGAAAAATAATTGCAGAAGTTTAATTATAAATTTAAGTAAAGCGAAACAGCATTTAATTCAGGTCAGAATTTCAACTTCAAATCTGAGCTCAAATTACATAAAACCTAAAACCGCGCCGAAAAACAATTACAAGAAGGTTTTATTCACAAAAGTGCACACAGGCTAAAATTGAAAAAAGAAAAAAAAAAA